TGATGTTGGTTTTGAGTTTCTTCCTTATTTCTCTGCAAAGATAGGTAATTCTTTGGTTGTACAGCAGAAATATTATGCAGGACCTTCCTGTTGATCTGTCAGTAGCTGTCTGAAGGAACTAATCCAGATTTGAGAAGGCGCAAGGTCCTGGGACAGGACCTTTCTCGAGAGAGGAAGGGAACTTCAGACTTAAACCTTCTGCTTCCATTTGATGGGATCCAACATGACCAAATTTCTAGGTTTTAAACACATGTGGTAAAGTTGCATTTGTAAATGATGGTTATTTCCTGTCATTCTCTGCTGTTATGATTTGCTGTTGAGCAGGTTCCTGTAAACAAGATCTCTCTCTTCAGTTTGATCTTTGTGTCTCATTTTTCCCCAATATGTTTTAAAAAAATGTACATTTTTTTTGTCTTCCTTTTAGTTTCTCAGGTCAAACAGTATTTTCCTCTCTAAACCAGGAAGAAGATCTCCCTTCCTGAATCAGTTGTCTTCAGCCTTTGGCTTCGTCACTTGCCAAGCCTTGAAAAAGCTACCTTGCATCTTTTAGACCAGGTGCTTTCCATTCAGTTGAATTCACTGGAAGAAGTGGCTTGTGTCATAAAAGACTCATTGCTGGTATGTGCAACATGTAGTACATTTGATATTGCTCTTTGTCACTCTTTGTCATCAGGATGTCACTTCTGATTCTTCAGGAGTGGCAGTTTTCAAATACGTCAGCATAGAGACATACCATCAGCATAAATGGCGATTATGGGATGTATGACTTGTTAATGCAAGCCAAATCTTGAGTCTTAAAAACATCACATTTCTTTTAGTTTTTACACTGAATTGGTAAAAGAGAAAAAAGATTTCATGCAGTGATGAAGAATGGGTAAAGAAACAAGGATCCCAGTGATGAGGGTGCTGAGTACCTTTCTCTTTCTTAAAAAATTATTAAGTTTGGCCAGGAAGGATTTGAACCTATTTTACTTCAATCTCTGTGCCCTTTGTCCAGCAGTCTGAACAATTGAAATTCCTTGTTATGAAATGGTTAGTTACTTGGTTTGTTTGCTAACCTGAACAAAATTCTTAATGCAAAACATTTGCTAAACTGTGATTAAAAATTGTTTTCAATTGCTTTCTAATGCAGAGCACCAAAAATCTTCCTATGAGAAAACCTGGCACAGTATTTTTTCCAAAATAATGAGCCAGTTTTCAGTGCTAAATGTAAATTTAATTGTTAATTGCAGTGTGAAAGCATGTGTGCTATGCACTCAAATTTCATGTTTCGTAAACTGACTGAACTAACAAATGGCATATGGTATTTTATTCTCAGCCTATAAAACTGCTTATGGAGTACATATTCTGGTCAGGAAAAGAATGCTATCTTTGAATATTCTTCCTTTTTAACTGAATCTGCAAATGTCTTATTTTAGGGATCGGTTATGATACTTGCAAATCTCATAAATGTCTTGGTGTTAGCAGTTCTTCATATGCCATCTGGGGATTTAGCTATTACAGCAAACAAGGCTATATACGAGGTCTATGCCTAGCAGATAGTTACTACATACAATTTACAATATATCTGATATATATTTTAAATTGTATATAGTATCTCTTACTACAGCATGTACAAGCTGAGGGGAAAAAAGATATCTAAATCTAGGTTATAAATACATAAAAATGTCAAATACTAGTCTCAAGTGTTGGTTTTTGTTATTTATTAAAAGTGTTCATCCTTCAGTTTCCTTCACATACTGATCTCTGGAAAGAATGGAACATTACTGTGCTAGCACATTTAGGTTTTCTTTACTTGCCTTTGCTCCAAAGACTTTGTGCTTTTGAAATAAGGTATTCACAAGACCAGTGCAGCAGCTTTGAAAGCTTGTTTAGAGAGGACATCCTGTGGACAAAGAATGGAATGAATGGAGCTGTAAAGAAGAGAGCCGCAGGCAGCTGGATTTATAGGCATTGATAAGAGGAAGGGTGCATATATGGGAGATGGCATAATGGGTAAAAACAGGATGAGAACTTTAGAGAGGCAGTATAGAAGGAAAATAATATGATCTGGAAATAGTGGTCTAGGTGCATAATGATATTTTGTACAACATGTACATAGCACTGTGAAGGTACTTGTATGACATTAAATTAGTCAGCACTTTGAATTCAACAGTATATTAATTTAGCCTGCCTAAAGAATATTTAAATATTTATTTAGGAATGTGGATGTTTTGGCAGTTAGAGTATGGTGTTTTAGGCTGTAAGCTCTGTTTACCTTATGGATATGGTAATAGTGGAATCATGAGACAAAACTAAATTTCTGCTTTCCTACTTGGAATAAAACCTTTGGAGGACAAATAGTCAGAAATATGATAGTGGTTTGATTATAGTACATTATAAGAAGAAATGTACATTAGAGTACATTTCAATAAGCTCTTTTATAATTGCATTATCAGAGTAACCTATCTAAATCAAGTGCCTTGATACAGTAATCATACTGTACATAAACATCACAGAGGTCTAAGGTTCCCAGATAGTTGTAAACTACTGTACATGTATATACTCATATTTTTAAAGCCTGTGTATGTTAGAAGAGATGTGATTGAATTGATGTCCTGTATAGTTTCTGTTTGATTCTGAGACAACTTTCCAAAGTAGTTTTTTTGTTTAAAAGGTATGTTGCTAGAAATGTGCAGTAGGTTGAGAGGGCTTAAAATTTGTTGTCTTCTACTTCATAAACCATCTGTTCTTGCTGCATTTTGTTTTCCACCTTGTCAGCATGGAATCATTAGGAAAAGAGCTCAGAGATCATGAAGTCCAATCTTTGACCGAAAACCACCATGTCAACTAAATAATGACTCTTAAGTGCTCTATCCATTTGTTTTTGGAACATTTCTGGGGATAGTGAATCCAACACCTCCCTGGGCAGCGTCTTCCAATGTTTAATCATCCTTTCACTGACAAAATTCTTCCTGATGTACACACAGGTTGACACAGTCCTCTTGTCCTGTCACTGGCTGCTTGAGAGAAGGGGCTGATCCTCACCTGTCTGCACCCTTTTCTCAGGCAGTTGTAGAGTGATAAGGTCTCCCCTGAGCCTCCTTTTCTTCAGGCTAAACACCCCCAGCTCCCTCAGCTGCTCTTCACAGGACACTCCAGACCCTTCACCAGCTCTGTTACCCTTCTGTGGACTTGCTCCAGACCCTCAATGTCCTTGCAATGAGGTGCTTTGCTGAAGTCCACGTAGACATTATGCACAAATTTTCTCTCATCCAATAGGCAGGTTATCTGGTCATGAAAGGCAATAAGGTTGGTCAGGCAGCCTGTCCCAAGCCCCTGCTGGCTGGGCCTGATCCCCAGGTTGTCTGCTATGTGCAGTGTGATGGCACTCAAGATAGTCTGTTCCATAACCTTCCCTGGCACAGGGTCAGGCTGACAGGCCTGTAATTCCCTGGATCCTCCCTTCCACCATTCTTGTGGATGGATGTCACACTGGCCAACCTTCAGACATCTGAGATCCCAGTTAGCCAGCACTGGTAATAGATTATGGAGAGCAGCTTAATGAGCACTTCTGCCAGCTCCTTCAGTACCCTTGGGTGGGTCCCATCTGACTCCACAAACTTGTGTTTGTCTGTGTGTCACAGCAGGTCACTCACAACTTCCTCCTGGATTGCAGGGGGTCTGTTCTGCTCCCCATCCCTGTCTACCTGCTCAGGGGGCTGGCTGCCCTGAGCATACCAGAGCTTTCTGTTAAAGGCTGTGGTAAGGAAAGCATTAAGTACCCAGCATTTTCCTTATCCCCAACAGGGACCACTGTTCCCTTCCATGTCTAGTAAAGGATTATCAGTTTCTTGAGGTTGGGATTGAAGGCACTTGAGATGGCAATTCATGTTCAGACTCAGGTGTTTATTATTTCTTATCTATGTTACAGTCTACTACTTCGAGTTGGGCAGCTTTTTCATTAGCAAGGCACAAAATTACTAACTATATCTTGTTACTAATTATCTCTTGTCTTTTAAAACTAAACTATCCAATAAAGAAAGGTCACCTGGATTATTTTCCCTTTTAACCCAGTAACTGCTCCCCTGAAGCCTGCAATGCAGACCTTTCTGTCCAATCACAAAACATCACGCAAACCCATGAAGAAGAAGGAAGAAGGTAAAGAACAACTTGTCTCCACCCTAAAACCTCCATCTTGCTTCATATTTATTTCTATATTCTAAAATCCCAAACTCTTAAGTTTTCCACCCTGTGATATTACACACATCTAATCAACTACATAGCCATAATCCCAGTGCTATAAATCAATTTTAAAAGCCTGTTCCATGACCTCAGGTCAAATGCAGTATTCTCTTGTGGGTCTGTGTCTTTAAGCACAGAAAGTTTAAAATTCTCTGCATACAGGATTCCAACAAGGATGGAGATTTTTCTTGGCCCTCCTTTTGTAGTTAAATTATTTATAAAAACACTTTCTATAATCTTTCACAGCAGTGGCCAGATTGAGATGTAGTTGAGGTTTTGCCTTTCTGGTTTTCTGTCTGTATGACCTAATGACACCCTGAGTTGTCTGTTCCTTCTTCCAAAGTCCTAAGCTCTTCTTTTTTCCCTGAGTTCCCATGAAAGCTCCCTGCTCAGCTAGGACAGTTGTCTTCTCTGCCAGCTCATCTATTGGCACATGGAGATGGCCTGCTCCTGTGCCTTTAATTTTTTTCTTAAAGCATGTCCTGCCTTCCTGAACCCCTTTGTTTTTAAGAGCAATTTCCTGAAGGACTCTCTGAACCAGTGTCCTGAACAGGTCAAAGTCTGCCCTCTGGAAGTCCAAGGTTGAGGTTCTGTTGATCCCTTCCTTACTTCACCAAGAACAAAGAAACTCCATCATTTCATGGTCAGTGTGCCCAAGGATGGCCTCTGAGCACCACACATCCCACAGCCCTTCTCTGTCTGTGAGCAGCAGCTCTGGCAGGGCAGGTCCTGGCAGGTTCCCTCCCAGCTGTGTCTGGAATTTACCCTCCACACACTGCAGGAGCCTCCTAGCCTGTCTCCTCTCCACTGCTGAGTTTCCAGCAGACATTGGGCAAGTCAAAGTCTCCCACAAGAGCAAGGGCTGGTGATCATGAGACACCACTGACAGAATATTTCACTCCATCCTGGCTGGGGGGTCTGGGACAGGCTCCCAGCAGGATCTCTGCCTTGTTGGCCATCCCTCTGCCTGTCATCCACGGGCTCTCAGCCTTGTGCCCACTGTCCCTGAGCTCTGTACAGCCAAAACCCTCCCCAGGGCACAGAGCCAATGAAAGAGGCATTAATGGGGAAGAGGAAGGATAGAGAAAATTACTTCTAATGTTGATAGATTCAGGTGCTTTTAAAACTTCTGTAAATATATACTTGTGATTTAAAAATAAATGTATTCTTTAAAATAAAAACATATTTGGTGTTTCTTATAAGAAAAACACAGTTAGTGTTTCCTGTTTTAAACAGGTAAATGTAACATTCAGAAATACAAATATATAACACTTGAAATACAGCACCATAGTAGTTTCCTAAAGTTAGATGTGCTTAAGTTCTAGAAGTGTCATGTGCAATTGTGGAGTGAGTCCAATTGCATGTGAGTCTGGAAATCAAGAGATACCACCTGAAATCTATATAACCTTGGGCATGTTTACTTCCTGATGTTTATTCTTACTTGTGGTTGTTACAGAGCATTCTATGATGTGAATAAAATGCAGATTATTCTGTCTCTTTTTTTCCACATTAACTAGCTTACTATAGATACAGATGTATTTTTCTTATTCTTTTAATTCAGTTCTGGGTTTGTGTTATAAATAAGTTGTTTCAGATTCTGTTTTCTAATAATACAGATACATAAGTGGTATAGTTCTTTACGATTTGTGTCTGGAAAACTTATATTTTTTCTATCATAATACCACACATGCAGTTCCAATTCTCTGTGTTTGAATCTTTTTGTTTAGTGTGCCTGTATTGTGCATGCTTTAGAAATGATTGAACAATATACATAGGGTTTGATTTCTGTGAAAAGGATTGAGTAGTTGTAGACAAGATTATTGAAATGTAAAATGCCTTTTTATTTTGAAAATATAAGGAGATAATGCCAACAAGAAGAAGATTTTATGAAAATCCCTCCTGAAAATCATAATCCCTCCTAAATTAAAGAACTGCTGCCTGCTCTTGACTGCTACACAATGGGCATCTTCAAATTGCAGGGCAGACTTTTGCACAATCACAGCATTCTTGCTCTGAATGCTTGCAAATTAATCCCATACAGTCCATTGATCAGAATTAGGTAACAGTGGAGTTTGGGCTTGGGTTTGTTTTTTATTTTTTTCCCCTTTGACTACCAGTGACGAAATTCATATTGATTTCAGTCCCTTAGATAAAATCCTAGGGGCTATTAACTATGATTTCAAGTAGTGAGTACTGTTAGATCGCTGCTGTCTGCCAGGAAGAAGTGGGGAGTTTTTCACTGTATACAGCACATTTATTTTGGACTTGTTCAAAAGAGCTAGGATTCAGTCTTGGTCTGTGAGCTGATGTGCTGGTGGACCTTTCTGGTTTGTATTAAGCAGTGTGTTCAGTTCCTCATCAGAGAAGTGTGCATGCAAAGGTGGGTAGGAAAAAAAAAAAAAAAAAAGCATCTGAGAGGGGAGGAATTGAGGAATTAGGGAATCGACTGTTCAGCGCACAGGACCAAAAACACACTCTCACTTCCCACCGCTCTCCAGAACCTCAGAATGGCTGGGTCTAGCAGACAGCTCCAGAGATGCAATTAATCTTTCCACAAAGCAAGAAAGGAACCAAACGCGAACGAAAGGGCAGGTCCCAGACCGCGGAGGGGCCGTGGCTGCCGGCAGTGGGATGCTGCGGCTCCTGCCCGCTCCGGGCTGGGCAGCGCCGCCGCTCCGGCTCCGCGGCGGGAGGTGGCGCGCCGAGTACGGGTTTGTTTCCTGGTGCTACCGTGTGAGATCCTAGTGAGCAAACTCCCTCTTCTCCCTGTGTGCAGTAAAAATACATTATTTTAGTTGTTATTACTGCTGTCATAATAATCATTGTAATTTATTTTATAAACGTAATTTATCTATAATATTACAGTATTATATTAATTTTCTACTTGGTGCTTTTTAGCACAAGTGCATACAAGTTTTCAGTAGTGCATTGTGCACTTTAAGCTGAATTAATAAATGCCGTTTTATAAATACTGTGCTTCTTAAAGTTTATATAATGCATTTTATTAAATATGCTTTACTCTAGGCTGTTCAAGAACTATATTCTTACTAAATCTTCAGGCACTAACATCAGAAACACTAAGTGAGGATTTGCTTTTCAACTTAAGACTTTAACTTAGTACTTTGGGAAATGCGTAAGTGGGGTTTTTTTCTAGATGTTCTATAAAAGCCCAAGAATATGGAATTAGAAAGTGGTGTGTTTACTGGTGCATGTTTAATATAACAACTTTCTCAAAACAGTCCTTTGTGTGGTAGCATGGTTAAAGGCTTCACTAGTTTAAAATTTGTTTTATGATGCACTGAGACATTTAGCTTGTACTAGCAACACTGAAGTTCACAAAATAAGATAATACTGTAAGAAAATGTCTTGGATGAAAATGCATGCAAAACTATTAAAGTCAAAGGTGATAAAATCAATTTTATTTGTGGAATTTGATTTTGAAGCTGTAGCAAGAGTCTCAAAACACATCCTGAGAGGATTGTCTGCAGAGAGGAAAGAAAAGCTTTTTTAAAATCTAGTCCCTGTGTCTAGCCTCTAGGAATTGTATGCAACAACCTGTTCTTTCTGTCTGCTGCTGCCTTTAGTATTTGTAGTGATTGTTGTCATAAACAGTTTGGGATCCCAGGTGTTTGCATTTATCAGCTGTTGAGCCTACTTGGTCCTGCTGTGGGCAGTCCTAAGAATTCTAGTCCTGAGAATATGAGGGTTTAGTGAGAGTTGATCTTAGAGTTACAGTTTAATAATGGCCATGTAAGAGCATCCTTGAGTTAAGCTGTAAATTATGCAATGACAGTTGTGTGAGTTGTTCCTTATTAATACCTAATTTTCTTTCATTTGATTATCAACAGCCACAAGCAGCAAGCCATCCTGCTATTTTCAGAATTATAAATGAAATTTTCAAGTAAGTTTTGAAATTACTGTGGGAGGGGCTTTAATGACCCATTTAAACATTGAGCTTTTCATCAGTAGCAGAAGCAGTATTATAATCTGCAACATATTATACTTTCAGGGTATCTTTTTCTTTACCTGTATGCTTTAAAGTAGTACCTGTATGCTTTCTGTGTAGTACACTGCAAATAATGAAATATATTAAAAATCTTATGAACTTTTAAGTAAAAGTTACATCATAATAATCATTGGTACAGTTGGCTACACTGTTGGCTCATGCCAACATGGAGATAGCATTTAGCAAAAACTTTTGCACTTACCAATGTGGCCTCTTTTGCATTTTGTTTATGTTTTTCAAGATTTATGTTATATATGCTCTTAATGGCCTTCAACTATTGACCCACCTATTTATAGTGAGTTTGGTTTTGAATGCACTGAAATTATTTTGAAGCAACTAATATATTGGTTAGCATGTAGGGGCTTCAGATCATTTATACTCAGTTTTCACTGGTTTTTCTTTTCACTTGACTTAATACTTATTAATTTTAGGTAGATCTACTGCTGGGATTATCAGTATTAACAATTCCAACACAACAATATTGTGACTGACATCCTTTGCTCATCCATGTTTCCTTTCTTAGGAAAACAGGGCCCCCAGGTACATTTTTTTGGGGCGTTTGTGTGTCTGTGTGCGCATTCAGGTTTGTGCAGGCACTGACACAAGAGGCTGAGGCTGCTGTATTGTGAGAGTGGAGCCACTTGGGAGCCGCTGCTGTGGCAGTCCTTTGTTGCTGTGGTCCTGTGTCTGCACACAGATAGCATTTTCTGAAGAGTTGAGATTAATCACTTTCCCAAAGGATGATGTGTTTAAAAATTGATGTGACTTCAGCACATGTGTACTGATGTGTTAGGCTGGAGGCTGCATATTATGATGGTACAAGGAGACAAAATTTGTCCAAGCTTCTTCGCTTATTTAAGGTCATGCTCTGTAGAATTTTTTTTTAAAAAAACACATGACTTCACTACTCTTTTGCATCCTTCCCCTGTGGTAGACAGTAGAAATTGATAAAATATTGTTTCTCAGATAATGCAGGACTTTGTCCAACACAGTATTTCCTGGTAAAACTTTGTACTTCTGTTAATGTTTCAAACTGTCTTAAAAAATGATGTTTTCCTGTTTCTAAGCCTACATTTCTGCTCCCTTTCTTTACTTTAAATTGTTTCTGTTTGGTGTGCTTGTTCCTCTACATTGTTGGTATTCAAATGTTGATGTATTTTAAGAATACTATGTCTCACCTCCTCTAGATACTTACATGAGGCTGTATCTGTTAGCTGATTTTTGCAGACCAGTTGGTTTATACAGCCTTCTGTTTATTTCTCCTTTATTTCTCTAATGTCCTTCCAACTATTACTGAGTGGTGTGCAAATGTTAAGTTGCTATTCCAGTTGTAAACCCATGTGAGATTTTAGAGAACTGCTGATAAAGCAAATGTACTTTCTTACTTGAAAACTGTATTAAGTTTCTATAGCTGGCGCAGAACTTCATTAATATTTGGGGTACATGTTCTGTTAGAAGTATTGATCTAAGCATTGTGACTCTTTCTGTAATAACTTTTTCTGCTATTTGCATGCATATTGAAATTAATTGTTCTATATTATCTTATCACAGTGATATTACTTACTGCTTTTATTTCCCAAAGTTTTCTTGCTATGTGTGGCTATACAAAAGTCTATATACCTAGAATGTCTTGAGTTTCTGTGTACTGTTTATTCTTTTTTTACCAGTGATTTTATTTGCCTGTAGGTTTGTGACATTTCTATGTTACAGTAATATGTTAGTTCTTCATATATTTTAGAAGGAATGAAACAGTTCTCTAAAACTTGTATCTCACTGGCAACTTACTTTCAACATTTTTTCTCATTTCTACTATATGTCTTTAAAAAAGAGAATGAAAATTGCTGCTAATATGTTTTGCTTCATTTGCTCAAGGATATTTTGCTCTGTGGAAGGCAAGGTGAAGCCTTTCTAAACCTCTAGAGTGGCCTATGGGATGCAGTGCCATAAAACTCTATAAAGTATGCTTAATTCAATCATGGGAGTAGTTGTTCTGAGCACAGTAAACTGATTTATGAGCCAAATTTGGCTAATAAAGTTGTGCTAGTCTTTTTAATTGTATACTTGTTTAGGTAGGATAAATTATATATCTGCATGTATGTTGTATATATGTACTATGTCTAGTTTATTTGTAGGAGTTGTGTATGAGGTTTGTTTTGGTTTTTTTTTTAAATTAAATAAAATCTAAAAGCCTGCAAAGTTAGTATTTCTGTTTGCGGTATAATGAGCTCAGACAGTTTGAATCTACAGCATACAAAGAATATACATTTTTCTTTTCAGTTAATAGTGGTGTGATGGGCAGACTACTTATCTGATCTGTCATGTCTAATCTTTCAATGCATAGGAGTGCACTGATGGAAACTGATGGAACTTCAGAAGTTTTGACAGTAATACAGGTGTTTACACAGCTTTTCCTTCAGGATCATCAGAATGAAAACAAACAGGTTAGTCAAGACCTCTTTCTTAGTGTTTTCTTCCAGTGACAAAATGCAAAATTTCACAATAAAAAACCCCAGTTCTACTCTTAAGAGAAGTGACTGAATATAATAAGGTAAATAACAGCATCGCTCTGTGGCTGCGTAGATTTACCAAAGTTCAGTTCAAACATCTTAACTGCATGTAAAATTATAGCATGAAACCAATATGTAAGAGCAATTTACCTAACTTAACCCTCAAGTATGTCTGCCTAAATTGCTTTTCCCTGGCTCAGTTCCCCCGATGCTGAAGTTTCAGCCTGTAGAGTGAACATGAACATTCATCTTTGATAAAAAGGAGGAAAAATGCTAGATGCATTTTTTTTTTCAGTAGCAGGATCTCTGACAATAAATGAAGCAGATAAAACAACCCCATTTCTAATCCCCTAAATAATTATAAGTAGGATATTGAATAGTCATATTTGTCAGTTCAGAAGGTAAAAGACACAGAGTAATATATACTGGGACACAGAATACATACTCCCTATCCTCAACAGTGGTCTCTCTGAAATTTTTCTTGGTCTATATTTTCAAATTTCACAGCTTAGTCTCTCTTCTTCTGCACAGATTTTTGTACAGGTCTTACTGAATTGAATTAAGTGGAATTAGTTAGTGCTAATTTAAACAAGAGCAAGATCAGTCTCTTACCTTAAAATTTCAGAATATAGATGTGAAAAATCTTATTTTACTTACAGGTTGCAAACTTGACTTCAGATTTCCAAATCACATGGTCACATCCTGACCATCTTATTTGTTTTTTAAAATCAAATTCATATGATGCAAATTTGGGAAGACCTTGTCATTTAAAACCTTCCACTTTAAACTTAAGAAAATGTTCAGTTCCTTTGATTTTTTGCATCTTTTTGAGGGAAACGGTAATTAAGAGAATGCTGAGATTTCTTGAAACTTGTCATACTGGCTTTTAATTAGCAGTGTGATTGAATCTGTCTTCTAGCTTCAGGCAGCTGTCTTGCTTAATACATTAGTGCTGTGCATGATAATCTTGATCCACCCTGACTGCATGGCAGCAGCACACTGTGTAGCCCCAGGTGGGGATCAGTGAGTGAGGAGGAAAATAAAAGATTCCACACCCATCAGACACCCAAGAGCTAATCCTGCTGTGCAGGTGATATGTTTTCTTCAAGGTGAAAGTCCTTCCCCTGCTTGCATTGCAACATGGACTATAGCCCATTTTTCTGAAGTTGTTTTAAATGTGGAGTTTCCTTTATTTAACTTGTATAGTGTTCAAGTTACGGACTTCTAATTAAGGTGGTATCTTCAATGATAGCATTAAAAGTCCCTCACAGTTTATGAATCAACTGTAATTTTAGCTAACAGCTTGCAAGAAGGCAGGTACAGATTGCTTCCTAAACTTTAAGTCAGTCAGATCCCCTTTTTTCCCTCTGATCATGCCATCATTACATATATTCCTAAGGTATCTGTCTTTGTGGTATCTGATTGCCTTTGACAGAACATAATGTGCTCCAGTAGCATTTAGTAGAAGAATGGTAAAAACATTAATGACAGAAGATGAAGTGGGTTCTGCCTGATAACTGAGACCTTCAGAATTTATTGGCAGTTAATTGAAAAAACTATAGGCAAACATGCATCCATAGAATTTGCAAAACAACTGTCTTGTATCTGATGGTTTAGAGGTTTGTGTGATAGGAGTAAAGTGATCCTCTGTTGCAGTGTGGCAGCTGTCAGAAATAGATGTCTTTTATAATAACTTTGTTGACTGCTTAGAGCAAGGTTTGGCAGAAAAAAAGCTAAAGAGTGGGAAAAGACAGTGCTGCTGTGTTTAGGATAAGCTTTATTCTTGCATGTTTTTGGAGACTGAAAATGGTATAAATGGAGCATGGGGTTTAAACCTACTTAGGAAAATGTCCCATTTCTGTAGTCATTGAAGAAGAAATTTAAGAATGGGAATACTGAGATAACTGTTGGGATTTGTTTTGTATTTGCAGATTTTCTTTAAGTTTGTGGTGCTAGTGGAAGCTGACCTGAGGATAATTGGGTCACGTTGCTTGTAAATTTGTGAAGTTGAAGTTCATAATTTTATTTGACGGAAATTGTAATTTCCTCATGAATTGTTTTCCCTTGAGCCTTTCAGAATTATAATTGATTTTCACCTGGGAATTTTGTTTTAAATAGCTGGATAAATATTTTAAAGCAGTGTTCAGTGATTATTTCCAGTTTATTTCAGTTGTGGCAGTTATAATAACCAGCCACATCCAAACTTTTTCTGTCTGATAGTACCTAGTTTTTGATAGCATATGTGAGGAAAGAACTGTCTAAAATACTGTGTTTATGTGACAAATCTTTTGGCTTTGCCTAAACAGTATACTGGAAATTGTTTTTCACATACTTCACAAGTGTTTTCATATGTTGTGTGGGCTGTGGGTTGTCTTGGTTACTACTAACTGTATCAAGGGGCTGCTTTTTCATGGGAATTTTTAGTGCAAGTTAATTGGCTACACGCATACTTTACTATGGGGATTTTTTTTTCTGTTTAGCCTAATTCCTCTCAACAAATAGACTTTAGTGTCTTACTACACCAGTGATATATAGACTGTCTAAGAAGAGTGTATATATTCATGTGCTGTAATTTCACTTAACTGTTGTTGACAGAACAAAAAAAAGTAGTAGAGAGGATGTGTCTTTTTGTTTGTTTATAAGATGCATGCATATATATGCAATAAAAAATAGTTTCTAAATGCAGTCTTCATTGAATTTACAGCTCTATTACATTTTATAGAGTTCATATTCCCAGGCTGTGTTCAAGAGATTATCTGTTAGCTAAATGCCTTCTTACTCCTAGAAAAGAAGACAGCAGAGTTCTAAGATAATTGGTATGGAAATTCAAAGATGTAAATGAGAGAATCATAGATTGCTTAAGAATTGGAAGGGACCTCTGGACATCATCTCATCCAAATCCCCAGCTCCAAATCATAGCTACGTAGAACCAGTTGTCCAGGACTATGTCCAGATGGGACTCTACAACTCTTCTGAGCAAACTGTGGTAGTGCTTGGCCACCTCACCATAAAAAGAAAGTGAAAAAATAAATTACAGAAGTGTTTTCTGATACACAGGCAGAACCTCCAGTGCTTGAGTTTGTGCTATTACTTCTTATCCTGTCACTGTGCACCTCTGCAAAAACCCTGGTTTTGTTGTTTTGCACCCTACTTTTTAAATGTTTATACACATTCATAAGATTCCCCTTGAGCCTTCTATTCTTCTGCTTTCTCAGTCTTTCCTCACAGAAGTTCCCTGGTCCTTTAATGATCCTTGTGGGCCTTTATTTAGCTGGGCATTAAGTGGGCACAGTACTTCAGGTTAGGCTGCTGGAATGGCTGCTTACAGTGCTGAGGGGAGGGGAAGGAGCACCTCCCTGGACCTGCTGCCAATCCTTTGCCCAGTGCAGCTCAAGGGAACACTTGCTGCTCTGTCGCTGGGCACGTTGTTGACTCACACTCACCTTGGTGTCCACTGGGTCCCCAGTCCTTCTCTGCAAACTGCTTTCCATCTGAGTGGCTGCCAACGTGTACCTGGAGATATTCCTGCCCAAGTGCAGGACTTTCTACTTTCTCCTTGTTGACCTTTATTTGGCTTCTGTCAGCCCATTTCTCCAGCCTGCCAAGGTCCCTCTGGATGGCAGCACAACCCTTTAATGTATCAGCCACTCCTCCCAGTTTTGTGTCATCACCAAACTTGCCAAGGGAACCCACTGCCCCTTCATCGAGCTCATTAATGAAACTGTAAAATAGGACTGGGCCCAGTGTTGACCCTGCTGTGCCCTGGTAGTTGCTGGGCTCCCAACTATATTTTGTGCCAGTGATCACCACGTGGGCCTGGCTGGTTTTCTGTGTGTCTCAAGGGGAGTTGGTGTTGCACTTGCACATACGTGCTCCATGCTAGATCTGCCTGTAGTACGTGTTTGCAGAACAAACAGAAGGTGTGCTGCTGCTAGTCTCAGTTATACAAGCAGTGTTCACAGCATGCAAGTCACACATTCTCAGGTAAACAGTGCAAGTCTGTTATCTGTGACTGCCCTACCTGCTGCTGGATCAGAATTTTGTGTTGCAATAAATCTACACTATGCCCTCCAGTTCTATACATGTTATTAGTTCTTAGTTTAATATCATCTGTGAATCTGTTTACACTGTAAAATAAAATTAAACTAGTGTCTCTTTTAAGCTCTGCTTATTAAGAGTAAAAACTTTGGATTACAGGGAAAAAGACTAAGACTAGTAGTGTAATTTTCTTCATGCTTTGAATCTTTTTTGAGGCATATACTTTTAAAATCTATAAATAATTGCTTTTTATATGCAAGCATTTTCTGAACAGCCCCCTTTTTAATGCAAAATCCTAAAAATAACTAAAGAGTTAATTTTCTGTTTTCTTGCTTTGGTCTGTGTTGTTAATTACTGCCTTAGATGAGATTATTCACTGTGTTTGTTTTGAAAACTGACCAGAAACCTCTTAAAATAATGATTTTATGTCTTAGCATAAATTTCCACTGAAGGCCTACTTCCCGTATCATCACCAGCCTCTTGTTAGACGTTTAGTCAGACGTCCTTTTGGTAAGTTTTTTCATAAAGTATTTGCAGCATTACAAGTCTGCATGGTCTGTATATGTCTTAAAATAACTTAAAAATGGATAGCGATAACTTTTTGCCATTTCCTTTTTAGGGTGTGTTTGATTTATCAATTTTAATAATATTCTTTTAATGTATTTTTCTGCAGGAACAGCTGGTTCTTATATAACAATACTACTGATGTAACTTTAAAGAAAACTAAATCAGTAGTGAATAACAAAGAAAGAATGCATAATTATGTAGGAATGAAGCCATGTTACAGAGATTGTAAAAATCTTCTTGTGTTATAATATCAATAATTGTCATGGAAAAATTCACACGTATTTCACAAGAAACAGACTTTCTGTTTCTCTCTGAGGCTTGAATTTTGATACTTTAGTTTGAAAACCCAACTATTTTTCAGGTTTCCTATTCATGCATATCAAGAAACCACTGTTCAATTTGGTATGATTTTTTTATGGACAATAATTAAAGCTCAGTACAAGAGCCTCTAAAAATGCTACTGCACTGATTAGATATTAATATTGCAGTAGCAAGGGAACATCAGCTTCATTTCAATATTCCTAGCTGTACTTCCTTCTATGGCTTTATCAATGAATTTTGTGTGAAACACAGTAATAGTATTGTTTAAAATTGGGAAATTTTAAAATGATTAACTTTGTGATAACTGAATCAGTTTGGAGAAATCTTACAGCTACCTTAATGCTTCAGTGTTACATTCTAGTGGACAGGCTATGATTTTAAGTGTTTTGTGTTCATTCTTCATCCTCAGAACTCCCAACTACATATTGGTCTGAACATGTGAAACACATTTCAGATATGGTCAAAGCATTAGTAGAAGATACAAATGCTAGGTAAGCAGTATAAGATCTTCAAACTTTTTGTCCTTGGCATATTGGTTTGTGAAAGGTCATGCCATTTGAAGTCTTTAGTGGCTGTATTTCATCATTTTCTTATTATTTTCTAAGACGGGCTTTATTTTTAAGAATAGGACTTTGATTACTTACAGAACCTGAGCTTTATAGCATCTATCTACCTGGCCAACAAATGTCTAGCTGCATAATGGAAATGCTTACTTGTCTATTCTCCCATTTCTCCCTCAAAACTTTTAATGCTGTTTTATGAAGGAGCTTGGCTTTCTGCAGGCTTGTACAAACATCTAAACTTCAAACTTCCTTATTTTCATAAATATGACTGCCAGACTGCAGTATCATTTTTGTTGTGTTAATCTTTGTGCTGTCACTCCATGTTTCTGACCTGCTGCCCTTGGGGTTTGTTTGTCTAGATGAATTATACTTTGGTAGGGAATGTTCTGGGACTATAGGAAAATAATGAAAATACCTTGGTCCTGTTGCTGATACAGGCCAGGATGCCCTTGGCCTTCTTGGCCACCTAGGCTCACTGCAGGCTAGTGTTCAGTCTGCCTTTAATAATTACCCCCAAGTCTCTTTCTGCCTGGCTGCTGTCCAGCCACTCTGTCCCAGTTTTCCCCTGGGTACTGGAACAAAGATACTTGCAGCCGTGCTTGGTTTCAGTTAACTCACAGGAGTCTTTTTTTTTTTTGGTTTTTTTTTTTTTTTTTTTTTTTTTTTTTTTTTTTTTTTTTTTTTTTTTTTTTTTTTTTTTTTTTTTTTGCTGAGTGGCAGAAAAAAGCTTTTTGTTGTTCCCTCCGAGGCCAGGCTGTCTGGTGGTAGCTTCTCACTTTCTGTATGAGCTGCAGTTCAGTGCTCGCCTGTTCATCCCTGAAGTGTGTCAAACCTTTCTGTCTGTCCTTGGAGTTGACCCATAGCTGACCCTGATTTCTTAAAGAATCACATAACTTGAGCTTAGAACAAATAAATAAAACAAATATCAAGCATCATAATGCATCATATCTGTTCTCCTTTTGTTGACCAGCCCTTTCTTGGTTTATATATAGTCTTTTCCTCCCTTTATTTTGAACAGTATGCTTGTTTGAACAGTATTGTACTTGCCAGAATGCACTCCTACTTCCTTTAGAACTCCTACAACAATTATGTTTTCTACCAAACCCCTCCCAATTAGAAAGAAAATGGATCTAACATATTATAAATACTAATATCTGTGAAGAAACTGTATTCAGTTTTCTTTTATTGCTTTATTCCTGATTCTGTATTTTTTCAACTTAATAAGATTTACAGAGGAGAAAAATATACTCTTACATAGCATATTCTGTTGGTTCTCAGTGCTTTAATTTTTTTTATATAGCTTGGTTTTCAGGGGTTTTATTTTATACCAAATGTGAATCTTATAGCCAAGTGCTTTCTGTGTTCTTCTAATCAACAGATTGCCTCTGTGCTGAGATTTATTTTTATATGTAGTACTCTCAGTGAGGAGTGAATGTTACATGACATTTTAAACTAGAAATCAGTTAATGAACTTATGGACATTCTGTGAGGGAAAGTCCCAAAAATAGTGAAGGGCCACTTTTGGCAATGGCAGTGGAGCATAGGTGCCATTACAGAGTGGGCAGAAACAGCAGTGGGGATGGAGGTGGAGGGTACATGACTCAAAAACAGGCTCTGTAACAGCAGAAAGTCTTCAAGATAATGGTAACATCAACTCCTGGAATTTCTAAGATCTTCTTCTAGCTTCCTTGCAAAGGTGGCACAGCAGCTTTTGGTGTCCCTGGGAATAAGGCATAAGAAAACCATCTAATTCTTTCAAGTTTTGCCCAATGTTTTAGAAATAATTGTTCCTAGTTCTCAATCTAGCTGTCCTTCTGTTTGTCCTTCCATGCTTAGTTTACCCTTTTGCTTCTGTGACACCTGTCATTTGTTGCATCTCTTTTCTTTCATTTTCTCTGACTTTACAGGAATGCACATGAGAAAGTGTGGAAATGAATGGTGGTCCTTTCTTACACCAATAATCCTTTTGTAAACACCTTCAAAATTTTCATTTAAGAAAACATGAATTTTAACTGTCAGGAGATATACTTTAAAATATACTTTAAAACTTTATATTTAGTCCATCTAAATGTAATTCCTCATTAATTACCAAAACACAGGAAATAACCCTGGAAAACAACAGAGAGAAAATGAAAGGCAACAGTATGTTAGAGTGTAATATTTGAGATATGATTTTAAAGTTTTGGAAATCCTGCAGCTGAAGCATATAAAGAGTAAGGATGAATTTTATTATGTATCTTTTCATACACAGTATTTTGCCACAGTTTATTAGAAGCTGCTATTAAGGATAGTCTGTTGTACTGTCAAAGTTAATCTGTAGTAATACTGGGTGTGTCTCATTTGATTGTTATTTTAGATAATAGACTAAGTAGTGCATGGCTGTATGATTAGCAGGTTAGGTGTTCTCTGTTAAAGAGTAGTTTAAATATTTTTTTTAAGTTAAGTGTCAGCATCCTTTCTAGTTAATTTAAGGCAATTAAAAATGTTAAATAATGAGAAATACTTAATTTTATCTTTGTTGTTTTCCAGTTCTCTCACTGACCTCTTTGAAATTTGGTTTTTGGTTGCTTGTTTTGGAGAATGGCTGGATATTGCAGCAGAACAATTACTGAAGGCTGCTGTAGAACCAGATCCTGTGCTGTGGCTGCTGGCATTTTACTACTGTCCTAAAAATGAAAATCAACAAAGGACTCAAACAGTGGTGGGTAATGTAGTGATAGTAAGTGGCAATAAGCAGCCAATAGTCTGATTATATCTTATTGCTGTAAAACAAATAGTGCACATCAAAAAAATGAAAAGTATTGATTTTACAAATTCTCTGGGAATTGTGTCACAGTGGAGAACTTGAAAGTTGTTTTTTTTTCTGATTTTTATTTTCTGGTTTTGACATTTAGAAAAGCTTTTTCCTCCTTTTTAAGTATGTGATATAGATTAGCACGCTCTTGGCTTTCTTTTGGATAACCAGGATGTTTTTAATCCTAAATAAAAATACCCTAGTGATGGTATTTTTAAAATCAATGTGGCAGAATTCAGCATGGCATCTTCTGAGAAGGAAACAAGAGAAATCACAGCAGTTGAAACTGTGACGACACTTAATCAAACACAATCTTGAATTCTAACCTTTCCAAGCTGCTCTGATTTCTATCTGGTTTTTGGCATGTGGTACAGTACCAAATACATGATAATACCATGTGCTGGGCTGGTAACAGAAGGAGCAGTGCTCGAACCCTACACACTGTACTGCAAGAAGAGTGCTGTGCATCTGTGTATGCAAGCAAATACTTGAAAGCCTTTAATTTAAACCTATTGTACAAATCTGAACTAGCCCAAGTAATTGGATCTTCAAACACCAAATTCAAAAGGCTGCAACTTGTGTAGTTTTCCTTAATATGAGTATGGATTCTGGTGGATTTAAAAATGCAGCTCAGTACACCACAAGTGTAAAAATAATGCTTTAAATTTGCATCTAATGCTCCACATACAACAGTGCATTATGCAATATTTTATTTCCTTTCCTTCCCTGCTTTTCAGATGGCACTACAAATGCAAAATTGCATCCCAGTCACCTACAATATTTTTTTCTCTTAAATTTCTCATAGTCTAGGAGCAAGGGATGGGATGGGTTGGCTGGGAAGGTAAGGTAAGGGTTGACTGAACAAAGGTTAGAGCTAGTGTGAAGTAAAGAAATCGGGGTTGTTTTTCTAAAAAAAAAACTAGATGTAGTTTTGGGAAAGTAGGAATATATGAGCAGTAAACAAGAGTGATTGAAACTATTGCACTATAGCTGCAGATCAATATATTGTTCTAACTCCACAGAGTGAAATCTCTTTGTCCTATATATGAAATAATCTCCCTGTGTGTCCCCTATTCAATTTTGTTATTCAGTCATAACATAAGACAAACTTTAGAAACAAAAAAGCTTTTCTGCTGACAACCCATGCAGTGACTCATGTTTTCTCAGAGGTCTGATATTTCTGTTCATTATCATTCTTTTCTTAGTATTTGAACTGAGACTTNTTTTTTTTTAATTTGTTCTTTGGCAGATTAGCTCTCTTCAACCAAATTAAGTGGTTTCCACCTCAAACACAGCACCTTTTACTAGTATTAACATTCCTTGGGAACTTCTGGCAGATGTCAGTCTGGTGTACTTTTCATTCCATATTATTTTTGTGTGAAAGGTTTACACTTAGGATTTTGTCTTCCTGCTCTGTATTTTAGGTAACACCTTTATATTAGCCCGAGAGTAATACGAAATGTTTAAATAATTTAAAGAAGAAAAAGGCTATTTTTGCTGTTCACTAGAGTTCACTCATATGTACAGGACTAAAAATTCTGCTTTTTATTCCTTTGTTGCACTCCTTTCATACCTTTAGGGTCTGAAACATGGAAGGAGTAAAACTTGGAGTTTGGCCCTAAGAATGAGATTTCTAGGGTACATGGAGCAGGACTAGCTACTCTCTATCTGCAGTCTCTGGCTCATATGATGCACAGAAGAATAAAGAATCTTGAGGAATTCCAGTTACCTTTCTATAGATCCTGGTATCACTTGTGCCCCACATGTAGTTGTGGACTTAATGCAAGAATAGCAGCTTTTTCAGACTATATTATGTGAAATTGTTGAAAGGGTAGGTCAATGTCAGACATATGTCTGAAAAAAATTGTCCCAGTGAATATCCTTGAGAAACAGGTGTTCTTTTCCTTTAGGTGTGCAGTGGTATATTTTTCTGTTTTTCCAGCTGATATTAATTTGCATTCCATCTACAAGTTTTTTTAGTCAATTTTGAATACAGTGAACAGAATTATTGTTAGGATTTTTTTGCAGTAGTTGCTCATAGTTCTTCTTCTAGAGATGCTAAAATATTTCCTACCCCCAGTAAAAGTTAGGTTTAATTGTCTATCTCACAACATAAAAACGTAAGTTGTGAACTATGCAGGAAGAAGTTAAATCACATATTCTTACCAGAACATTTTATCAGCCGAGATCAGACTGCATGGGGATTTAACTGATTTACAGCGGCTATACTGAAATGAGCCCTTTAGGAGCCTTTGTTCTTTTTCCCACAATGTAAAAATCGGACCATGTTCTTCTGAGGGACTTTCTCCATTTCCTTATATTATTTTAAAAGGTTAAATCCTGGCTTGATGCCCTGTCTGCTTCATTTGTAAGACCAAAGGAAAAAAAAGGTCCATTTTGTCCACTTTTGCATGTCTGTAAAAGAAATGTGTTACAGCCCTTCCTTTCCTGGTTTTCCTGCTGTTTAAACTCAAACTTTTTTCATGTTTGAGTTGTTTCTCTGGGGATTTAGGTTTTTTTAGTGAATAAATCCAAAGTAAAACACCATAGATTTGACCTTTACAATCCTCTGATCCTGCACCCTTTGAAATAATTTCCTACAGGTAGAAGCTCAAGCAGTCTACAGTCATCTAATGATGCTGTTCAACTGTGCAGACCTTTCTCTGAAAGACCTGGAGGCTGCTGTACACAGGGTGATGGGCACAGAGCAGTGTTGTAACCAGCAATTCACAACACATCTTCTGACCAACTTCTTGCTCTTTTCACCTGGTGGACATAAGATTGCCCAGGAATGTATTTACCATGTAAGTGTTTCTTCCATTTTTTTCCAGTTAACTTAAATACATACTTATTTTACTATTTTTGATTTAAGTTTCTACCTCTTAATAAAGAAAACACATAACAGAGGATTAAAGAAGACTGTGACTACAACAGCCATATCTAACCTGCTACATACCTATTTCAGCTACAGTTAAAATATATTCTGTTTACTTCTTGATCTCACTGACAGGCTTACTGTTGTACATGCAGAAACAGGTGAAGTAATAGCTTGCAGTTAAGGGATACCTACAGTTCATTTACAATGGTATAGATAGCATATGCTAAGATTTTGATTTTCCAAAAAAAACCCACTCTCTAAATTATCCAGCTACTGCAGACATGATGGAACTCTCTTCTTGCTGTTTTCCATTGGGTGGAACAGCTGATGTGGCAGAAGCTTGGTTGGCAAAGCCAGTGAAGAAAACAGTACAATAATTGAGAGAGAAGGATAAAATGAAGAGCTAAGACAGCATCTCTTAAGGTGTAAAAAAAGATGAAGAGGAGTAAAAGGCTGGAAGCTTGCCACAGTATCTTCCTGTTGGTCATGACAGCCAGTATACCTTCAGATATATTGGGGCAAACTATAAAATGTTTTTGTGTTACTTAAGATAAACAGTGCTATCTCAGTGTAGGATTAGAAATCCAGTGTCAAACCATATTCTTGTAAGAAGTGCATGCCCCCTGTGCAAGCAGGTCTAGGGCCAGTGTGTAGTTCTACTACTTTCAAAAGCTTTTCCATTCAGCATCAGTGTGGTCTTATGTACTGATCTATACAGGGTATGTGGCATGCATCAGGCATCTGATTTTCTGACACAGCTGGCTGACTAAAAAGACAACATTTTTCTCTTTAAGAAGAGAAGGTATTTCTCACATCCTAAAGTGCAAGTTCACAAATGATCAATTTTCTTCTCAGCATAAGACTGTAAGGATAAAATTTGGGGGGTTGTATATATTTTTACAGACTGCTATTTCTAGTTTCTCTTCACGAAGAGAGTGCAGGTGTTGAGCTTTGATGCTGTAATGTACTGGCCTGCTACTTTAAATCCCTCCAGGAGGACCAAAGGCAATCTTCTGCTTTTTTATAGATAGCAATATAACTGAATTTCAAAACTCTAAATATTTCCCAGTGCAGAGTGGTCATGAACTGTTGTAGGCCAGTTTGTTGGTTTATCAGTCTGATTAATTTTGACTGTATCTGTATCACTAATGCGTAGCTAGGCTCTCCATGTGATTTGAATGGGACTAAAGACAATATATGAAAGGCAGAATGGTGTGGAACTGATTTGGTATGCATGCTTATGGTTCTTTTTAGCACAGTAAACTTTGGGTTTAACACAGATAATGAGGAATCAAGTCCCTCCTGATCTGCAAAAATCACAACTTAGGGTCTTTTCCTGTTTTTTGTCGTCTTTTGGGGGAGGTATTTATTTTCCCTTTTGAAAGCTTTACAGAATTGAAATGTCTCCCCAATTACACACAGAACCTTCATGTACTTTTAGTTCTTTTCTATGTCAATGACTTAGAAATCGTTATCCTGTCTGTCCATTTGTGTTTCCTTTAAAAAGTTTCTGGCCTCTTGATTTGTTTCATTTAAATTTGAGACAACAGAAATCTCAAAGTTGCTTGGCTTCACTGGGATGTGTGAAAAGAGATACCTTGGGCAGAATCCTTGGGTTCTCCCATATTCAGTGGTGAGGGAAAAATCTGTTTTTCTTGCAACAATTTTGAAGGATTCATAGTACTTAGCAACATAATTGCTGAATTTAACTTTTTGTGTTTCAGATTACTGAGATAACTGATACAAGCAAAGAAGTTCATAACCTTCTTATCCGTACTGCACACAGATTTAACCATAGTGGAGAAGAAAACCAAAGGACTGTGAAGCTGCTGAATGAACTTCTTCAAAAACTTACGTTGAAAGTTTAGAATTTTAATGTGATATATTTATCAAACCAACAAATTAGGTCTTTGCCCAGGTATCAGACTTCCATTAGCATCTGGCACTGCAGGTTACCAAGGGCACAGAGATACCTATATAAACAATAGCTGCTCATTTATATTCCCTCATCTATATTGAAAAATAATCTGTTTGGAATTGTTAAACTTTGGAAACATAGTAGTAAATATTAAAGATGCTTGAAAATTTTGTTCTGAGTACTGTCTGTAACAAGAGACCTACATCATCATCACTCATCTCCTTGTTGTTTATCTGGTTGATGGTCAGATTTTTTTCCAAATTACTCATGTAGGGTGTTTTAAGCAAGTAAATCCAATTGCTTGATTGGTAAGTTGTTACTAAAATGTTTTTTCTATGCTTCTGCTTTTATGAACCTAATGATGATCTCAAGTGATTCATAGTGTTCTCAGGAAATCAGTCAGTGGTATTTCCTGAACTCTTTCCTTATTTTTGAAAATGTTTCCAAAATGAAACTCTTCCCAGATTTGCTAAATGTGGGGGTTTTTCAATACTGCAGCTTTCCCAGGACAGTGTTCTCCGTAAGTATTAGACCAATAGCTGTTTTTTGTCAACAGATACTGCAGGCATAAAATTGCTTGCAGTACAGCCCAATTAACAGTGTGGTGTGACTGATGCTATTATTTATTAATTTAAGAAATACGGGGCTTTTATTCAGACAAAAGAGGGCAAGCAAAGCAGAGACATAAGGACATTTCCCAGTTTAAAGGGACAGATTTCCTATAAATGTTGCAACTCATTTCCTTCATTTTTGTATCCAGCAGTTATTTGCTTACTTCTTTGTTTAGATTTTTTTGTCTCCTGCAAGGAGCATAAGCAGGTAGCAACAGCTTATGTTTTTTATCTTTAGGAAAGTACTTTTCCCTTGAAGCTTTGTGAACCTGTTTCTAGCTTAACTAGAAGAATAAGCATGGAGAATAGTGCTAATAGAGAATCCTAATTTTCCTCAGTAATTTGTTCTGCTAGATTACTTATGTGTAATGCCAATGCCTGTGCTATGCTACTCAAAGATGCTACCTGAAATTCTGTTCTTGCATATAAAATCTGAGACATGTATATTGAATTAATAAAGCTTTTTGAATGTAGCCTTTGTTTTTGAGCAAGGGGAAAGAAAAACAGTGTACTTAGTGTCCTTTGGCTGTAAGAAGTGGAAAGATATTTTCTGTTATGCTGTTAGCTGCTTTCTTACAATTTTGTTCCCAATGAGTCATATTACGGAAGTTACATGCCCTCTCAGTTAGTTTGCTAGTGAAAAAATAGCAAACACATAATGTATGTCTGCAAAGAAAAGGTTGTTTTTCTCTTTATTGATTAAAAAATATTTTTAAATGAAAATTCAGAAATAAGTTAGTAGCAATTTTTCTGTTGTTAAATAGACATTAAAAAACTAAAATCAAGCAACCCATTTTCTGTTCCCTGAATACCATAACTGAAAAGCAGGAGATTAAACTCAATTATTTTTTGGTCACAAACTCAGAGGTATTTTGTCTGCTGGAAACAGATGTGGAGTGCTCTATTTAGAACGATAAATAATCTAAAATTTTAACCCAAAGGAAGAATGATTTTCTTTTGTTCTGGTTTTTCTTTTTGTTTGTTTTTTTGGGGGGGATTTTCTTTCATTTAATGTCTAATCTGATTCTTGGATGTGAGGCTCTTTGGTTGTGCTTTCTCCATATTGTGCCTATATGTAATTTTAACTATGTAGAAGAAAGATCAGCAACAAATTGCAATATCTAATTCTTGCAGGTTAATTAGGTGAATGATATGGGTATTATATTCAGATGTGTATAGCAGTTTTTGGACAGGTATTTTAAAGTATCTTCTCTTTATCAGTGTTGTTATTTTTTCATTTACAAAATGCATGAAAATTAATTTAACAAAATCAACATGCTGATAAACAAGGATAAATCAATTCTAGCGGGAAGGAAATGTACAATGAAGGCAGTTAAAACCCAGAATTAGTAATGAATTGATATATTCTTGTTTTCTTGTATTTGGCTTTGTAAGAAAAACGGAATGATTTAAATACTAAAGAGGATTTGCTAGTTTCAGCAGGCTCTAAGGAAGAAACCTAATTGATACTGTTTCTAACTTAAAAAAAGCTACATATGTACTGGCATTCTTTTTGCTCTTTTTAGCATAGTGGTTATAAATTGTTGGTGTTTCTTTTTCCTTACTCTTTCAGTATGCTTGAATTATGATCTAACTTTGATAGAAGCTGTGATTTTGTGGGATGTTGAAGCTACTTCTGTTAGTTTGCCAGTGGAAGGCTACAGAGCAATTTGGTAGATCTGAGTAATGGAAGATTTCTCATATGGTGACTTCTGCATTATCCATCCAATGTGCATCTTTTCCTCTGTAATTGCTGCTTTCTGGAAATGTTCTCTGGGGCCTTCAAGGCTGTACTTCTGTGCTGAACCAGCCAAGAAGTTGTTCCCTTGTATTCTAGGTGCAGCACACACCCTGGTTCTGGACAGTATGTAGAGAACTTTTCAAAACTGTTCTGCTTCAAGGCATTTTTTGAATAAGAATACAGACAGTAAATTTTACTTCTTTGTTGAGTATGCTTCTTTCCAGTTTAAGCCTGTGAAGTTGGAGGTTTTTGAATTCTGCAGACTTTGCAGCATGGTGCTCGGTGGTGTCTTTGGATTTTCTTCAGGCAGAAAAAAATGTAATTTCTGTGGCTTTTATTTAATCAAAATCTCAGTACAGTGCCTATACAAAGCAGAATGCATTTTATTTTGTCATGGTGTTGTCTGCAATTTAGCTGACCAACAGTAACATTTATTGTATTACTTCTAGCATTTGTGCTTTAGTTTCTGTACTCTCATCTTTGTAAGTGACAAGAGGTGTTAATATACACAGTGAGTTAATATTTGTTTCAGTGAGCTGAAAACTGTGATAAATATTTGTCTTGGCAGGGATACAATTCAAAACATTTGAAGCATTAGCATTATAGAAGTATAAGATAAAACACCTAGCACAAATTACTTGCAGTTACTAAACAAAATACAGATTTACACCGTTTCATTGCTGTGTTATCTAATGTCAGAGTAAAGTACCTAATATTCTGTGTGAATGTGTAATGTCATACTCCATTAAAATGCAGTTTTCTACTAGACCCAGGTTTGAAAAATCAAAACCTGGAATGTTACAGGAGGAGTTCTGCACAAGCATGTATTTGAATTTTTAGTCTGCAATGGCTTTCTTAAGTAACCAGCATGTTTTGTTGGGCAACACCAGTAGTTAACCACCGTAGCTGAAAGCTCTGGTGCCAGAGGCATCCCACTAGCACTTCATTCATTGCAGTGTTCAGATGTGTGCTGCTTGAATCCACTTCTCTGGCAAGTTTTCCTTACTTGTGATACAAGTTTTCTTAAATGCTTGCCTGGATTTAAAAGATGTGCTCGTGGTAGACATTCCATTTGCTGCCCTAGTAGAGAGAAGCTCATTCTGTGGATTTGCTGTTAGGTGGTCTGTTCAGTAGTGAATGCCACAGAGGCGTTTCCCTTACTGGCACTTCCTTTAACCAGCTCTGGCTGCTGGGAAGGAGTAAACCTCACAAGATCCTTCTGATGGCTTGAGTGTGCTGCTCCCTGTTGTCTGAGCTGCCAAGGGATAGGCACTGGACTGCTGTCAGCCACTGAAACAAAACTGAAATGTCAGCTGGCTCTAATTGAGTTGTAGTGATGTAGTTCATAGGCAATGGTGGTGTTTTAGTTTGCGTTCTATATTCTTGCATGTGTGTGAAGGGAGTGAGTAACAAAAAAGTTAAAACCCAACATGTTTATGAAACTCAGCTGTAGGAGCTTAGCTGTGATTTTTATATTCAGTACTGATAGAAGCAACAATTCCATACATGATATTCCATTAACCTGCATATCAACAAGTAGCAGAAAAAAAGTCCAGCATTAGTGTCTTTAGTAGGTCTGCATATTTAACTAACTTCATGTCTCTTACTGCTTTAAAAACCTCTTTCATAACTCTTCTGTACTATGTCAGATGATGGACTGATGTAATAAAAAAGCAGACCCTCAGAAACAATGACCCCCTCTTTTCTGTCCTTTTCAATAAAAATATTTGTTAGGCCCATGAACTTCTGCAGACGCATAAATGCCATCTTGAAGAGATTGCCTTTTAGCATATTCTTGATTAACATTGTGAATTGCACTGTTGAGATGTCTCCTGTGTATGTGCCAGTTAGCCTGGGTGTACAGTTCACTCCTTAACATTTTATTTCTTAGCTTGTGACTTTATTTAAAGGCTTCCAAAATAGGTGCATGCAATATGTCATTTGTCTGCTACTGTTAAAGTTTCCTTAATATTTCACATACGAGAAAGTGGCTTCTGTTTGTTTTGACTAGTGATTCCATACCTTCTACTATGTATAGGTTTTCTGGAAATAGGACTTCAGCTTTTTTATTTTCAACTAACTTGTAATGGTAGCTGGCAATATAAATTTCCTATCTGTACCATTGTTCCCTGTAGAGACTACTAGTAACTGTTTAAGTGCTTTTTATCTCATGACTCTGCCACATTTCCATATCAGCTTCAGATGTCTGTGACTAGAGAAGGAAAAGCCAGTATCAGATTCCATGGAAGATGAGAGAAGCCTTGAAATATGACACAGGATTAGTTTGTAAGATGGAAATGGGTGATACGTGTCTGTGAACTCAGGCAATTTGTGAGTTTCTAGTAGGGAGGACCAATAGCAGCATCTTTTCTGGAAACGTAAGAAAAGTGCCACTGTTTTTTTCCATGGATCAGTAAATTTCTCCAAGTTCATTGCAAACTCCACTATTATGTTTCAGATTTCTTTTCTTGTGTGTTTGCTTTTTTACTGGAGTACAAATGGCCAGTGCTGAGCACAGGCACACTTTCTTTCTCTGACTGGCTTGTCCTAGGCCAGTGGATACTGAACAAATGTCAAGCCCAAACCTTGCAATTAAGCAACAACATCTGTTTAGGAAAGATAATTACATTGGGATTTAAAGTCTTCAGATGACAGCTGTTGACTGTGGCTCCTCTGATCTTGATTTCATGAGTTCTGCTCGTTGTATTGGCAGAGCAAGCTCCCACATGTGCCTACTCTTTAGGCAGAAGCATTGCTTTTTTTTTTTTTTTTCTTCCCTTCCTTTCTGGCCAGGATCCAAGATGAATCTACACATGGTAGATGCAGTCTCTTTGTTTTTCTTGTGTTGTTTTTAATCTTTAAACATAATACCCTAAACCTAAGTAAACATCATAGAATAAAGTTTAAGAACTTGCATATAAAATGAAGTATGGGCTGCATATCTGTTTTTATGCTGAGATCCTTCACTCACAGACTCGTGTCTAAACACCAGCATTCTGTAGGTCAGTTGTTCCCTGCCCTGATTTCTTCAGATTTGGCAGACTCGTAGAAGAATGAAAGAACAGAACTTGGTATCTATGCTGTCCCCCCTCTGCTTCAAAAATCATGCAACTGAACAGCCCAACTGGTGCACCACTTAAATGGTTAGCATGGATTTTGGACAGTTCCTCAAAATGCATTGTAGAGTCTGGCAATCCACATGAATTTAAAGAAAGTATAAGAAGAACTGCTGTGTGGCATCCTGCTGTGGCACCATTTCCATAATTTTCCTATTTATTTAGTTCCTTTTGTGAATCTGAAAGTTTAGCTCATGATTTTTCAGACATTCAGGGAGTAAGCAAGAGGAAGAACTATTCAGAAGGTTCTTCATGACTACATTGGGTCCTCACCACCTCTAAAGCATAGCCAAAAAGCACACAGTCTTTGATAGCTGTACTTTATGACAAAGTGGGGAATAATTTTTGGGTTTTGCATGTTATAAACTTGTGGTTTTGATGCTGAATTCCCTTGATGCAAAAATACAGTGCTACACCACTGACCTTCATTCTGTGATGTAGAACTTTCCTCAGCATCACATCTACCCCTCAGTTGATGCTGGCATTATTCATACTGGTAACAGTGAATCAACTAGCTTAAGAAATAAATAACACAGGTCTTTCTATTTACTTAGTCTGGATGCTTTCTAGTTTCCATTCCTTCCAGCTATCAAGTAAGAAATTTACATTCATGTGA